TTTTGGTCTTCGTACCGTCCTTTACGACCTCCGACTCTCCATAGACCGCCCCAAGACGGCCCACGAAGCCCACAAGAGAGCCCCAAAACGGCCCCAGAGGGGCCCCGGACAGTCCAAGAGGCGCCCAGGACGGCCCAAACGCGCCCCCGAAGGGCCCCAAGAGGGGCCCAAGACGGAACACCCATTTGAACCTTCCAGCCCCCCCTCCCCAGGAGGCCCCCAAGAGGCCCTTAAGAGACTCCCAAGAGGCCCAAAGAGGCCCCCAAGACGCCCGCGGCAGGCCCCCAAGGGCCTCCAGAGGCCCCCCCAAGAGGCTTCCAAGAGGTCCCCCGAGGTTCCCAGGAAGCCTCCAGGAGACCCCCAAGAGGGCCCCAACGGGCTTCTGAAAGGCTTCCCCAGAAACCATCATGTACGTCTACATGCGCCCTTCGGTCCAAAAACCTGAGACCGTTCCTGGGACGCCGCCTGATTAGCACAGGTTTTCTTTGTCTCTGTCAATGGGTGGAGCGGCAGCGACCCTTGTCGCTGGGGCCGGGGGAGCAGGCCCGGGGCCGGCAATTTGGCGAGAAGGGCTTGCACGAACAGATTTTTAGAGACCACCTGCCCGTGGAACTGGCCACGCCAGGTGGCTTCATAGTTTCACAGCGCCTGGCGGCGGCAGCGTCGGCGCTTACTTTTCCTGCCCATGCACCTCTCTCTTCGGGGCCAGGGCCCGCTGTTCGGGGCCGCCAAACAGGTCCCAGGCCGATCAGACAGCCGTCCCGACGGACCAAGATTGCCCCGAGCTGCCCTGAAGACGGCTTCCAGAGGTTCCAGACGGCCCAAGAAGGTTCAAACAGCAGCCCGACGAGTGCTCCGAGAGGCCGAATTTAGATATTTTCCTTTAATTTTTTGACGGATTTCGGGCTTCCAACGCTCCCAGATGGGTCAAGAGGTTCCCCAGACCGCCGTCAAGGCGGCTCTAGAGGGGAGGCGTCCACGACGATCCAAGACCAATCCAAGAGGACCCGCAAGAGTGCTCCATTCTCTCAGGAAAACTTGCACTTTTCAGTATATTCGTCTTGTAAGTTTTAACACAGTCAAAGACAACCCCAGAGGTCTCCAAGAACGCCCACAGACTGCCCATGAGGCTCTCAAGAGTGCCCCATAGACGGCTCAAGAGGGCCCCAAGATGGACCAAGAAAACCCGAAGACGGCCCAAGAGGGCCCCAGGATGGAGGGGTAATACGAGCTGCTATTTGGAAGCCTCTACCCAAAAATGACCCCCGAGGCCGCCTATAGGTGCCCAACAGGGCAGGCCGAAAGAGGCCCCCGGGAGGCCCAAAAGAAAACACAAAGAGGCCCCCAGGAGACCCCAGGAGGACTCCGGGAAGCCTCCAGGAGACTCCGAAGAGGCTCCAACTGGGCTCCGAGAGACTTCGAAAGAGACCTGGGCCCCAAGATGCCCCAACATGGTTGGTATGCTATCACAGCGTGAGGAGACAACACGAAAACGGTCTGGGAACGTCCCAGCAGGACCCGAGACGGCTCAAGAGAGTTCCTGTTTCTTCCATATGTCTTTCTGCCTCCTGTCTGTCTTTCCTCGTCCCGCCTGCACGTGCTCCGCCAGCCGGTGTGACAGCGCGTGCATGCCGTTTCAAGGCGGCTTTCTCTCCGTGCTCCGTTACCGCTCCTTCGTCCTGCACATGCTCCGCCAGCTGGCGTGTCAGCGCGTGCATTTTATAGCACGGCTGTGTTCCTCCTGCGTCCGTCTTTCTTCGATCTTCCTGCAAGTGCTCCACCACCCGGCGTGACAGCGCGTGCATTATGTGTTAAGGCAGTAAGGTAGTTTCTTCTCCGTCCTCTGGGTTTCTTCTGCACGTGCTCCGCCAGCTGGCGTGGCAGCGCGTGCATTCTATTTCACTGCAGTTTTCGTCCCGTCTTCCGTCATTCCTCGTCCCTCCCGCACATGTTCGACAAGACAAGCCAAGAACATGTGACGACATCCAAAGACCAGCAAACTACGGCCTCGACAATTCATCATAAAGCTAGTCAATGCCCCAAGCCTACTCAGCGATCTCCTCGACGCACCCACAAGCCAAGACCTGCGCGTCGTGACAACGAAGAGGCAACCCTGGACGGCGCCATCGGGGCCACAAACACCTGCCCCCCCCACAAGAGCGCCTGAAAAGCCAAAAAGCCAGCCCAAGGGAGCCCTGCGACATCCCATAACCGGCCCACGACGGACACAACTCTTCTCCGATTGCGAGTCGCCTGGAAACCCCGACCTCCGTTTCATCACAGCGCCATGGGCTGGACTAGAACCTAAGCTCGCGCGAAGCACGCGCGTGGTTCTAGTGTGTATATATATACACATATATACATCTACATCTATATGTTTGTGCTTGCACGTGAAGGTCGAGAGTGAATTATCCCTTTGTCGCTTCTGGAAAAGCACTCAGAAGAACCGTTTGTGCCAGCATTGAAGGTTGAGAGAGGCTTATCCCATTGTCACTACAGCGTTCTCTCCGTAGCCCCCTGTTTTTGTGCTCGAAGGGGCCCCACGTGGCATGGGCGAGATCGTCCCTGTTGACCGTCCCGATTGGGCCATCCTCGCCAGCGCGGTGCTCGTCGGCCAATTGATCTGGCGGTCCGTGAAGATTTTGTGCGGGCGGGGTCGCCGCAGCCATGGCTCTGCTCCGACGCGACGCGGAGGCGGCGTGGTTGCGTGACTTGGTGCCGGGCGGCCTCATCGCGACGACGTTCACGGATGACGAGGTCGCCCACGAGAGACTTCTGTTGTGGCCCGTGGATAGAAAGAAGTGGTGTGTTTATGTACATCTGGACATACATTCGAATACACATGTATGTATGTATGTATGTATGTATGTATGTATGTATGTATGTATGTATGTATGTATGTGTGTATGTATGTATAAATAGCTACCCATATGTATACAAATGTGTGTACATAGATGTATATAGTTACATCTATGTATGTATGTGTGTATGTAATTGTGTATATATTTATATATATATATATATATATATATATATGTATATATGTGTATATATACATATATATATATTCCCATATGTTTATAAGCCCGGGCGGGGGGAAACCCGTCTCCCCCCAAAAAAGAATTGACTCCCGGGACCCAGGGCTTTGGGGCACTCCGGACGGTCCTCGAAGCGGCCACCGGGCCTCGCAAGGCGTTTTGCCAAGCCTTCCCAGCACACTTAGGGCGATCAGGGGGGTCATCGGAGACGTCCCAGAGACCCCCAGGACAGCACAAGAGCGCTCCAAGAGTGACCGACGTGACCTCAAGATGGCCCAAGAGGCCTCCAGGACGGTTTTAAAGAGGCCTCCAAGAGCACTCCCAAGAAGGCCCCCCGAGGCAAAAATAATGGATTCTCCAGGTTTTTGGTGGATTTTGGGGTTCTCCTCTTTTCGGCTTCCCGACGCTCCAAGACGGCGGTCTTCTGGGCGTCCGGAGCCACCTGGGAGGCTCTCGAATCGGCCCACAACCATCCGAAAGGGCTTCCAGGCAGTCCAAAAGAGCCCCAAAACGGCACAACACGGGTCCAAGATGGCCCTCAGAGAGCCCCATGGCGGCCCAAGATGGCCCAAAGACACCCTCCGAAGAATTCCAAATCGTGATTCGGTCGTTCAGGGAGACGGCGGTTGGAGGCAGGGTGGCCCGAGGAAACCCCCGGAGGCCCCCAGAGTACGCCCAGGAGGCCTCCAGAAGGCCTTAACAGCCCGAAACAATTTTTGTGAGGCCCCTGGAGGCTTTCCAAGGAGGAGCCTCCGCAAAAAATAGCTGAGGAGGATGGGGAGGATGCGCAAGGTATGGCGAAAATAAGGAACAATAAGCATGGAGGAAGGATAACGAATAACAACATTATAGCGTCGATGCCGGAAAAGGCAACCAGGAGTTATCGCTAAATTGTCGGCTTGACCTTCCTGCCATTCCGCCTGCATACCAAACTTCAAGGACCAGGGTGCATGTCGCGAAGCGCCACTGCAGTCTTATGTGTATATATATACACACATACAACATCTGCGTCGGCTACGCAGGGGCGACGCGCACGCTCGGAAATCTGATGGCGTAGGCTCCTTGGCGGGCGGATGCTGGCCACTCCGCCTGGGAGACGAGATGCGGGAAGAGGTTGTCTTTATGAGTTCGGGTCGGACGAGCGCTTCCAAGGGAGGCACCGTGTAGCTAGTACTGGGTCGGGCCTGTCCCTCTGCAGGGAGGAAATTCTAAAATAGTCCAAACATAGTCCGGGGACGATCTTTTTACTATTGTTGGCAATGTTTGGAGCATTTTGGGTGTATTTTTCATTTTTCGTCCAAAATCCCCCTGTAGAGGGACAGGCCCGACCTGAAGCTAGTACGTCCTTATGCGTCCCATGTGTTTGTGAAACAGCGTTGCGCCTCTGACGATGCCCAGTTTGACGTTCCTGGTCCCCTCCCCCAGCGACTGGCAGTCGCGGTATGTTTTCCACGGCGCCGCTTGCGTGATCCAAGGAAGCACCGACGCGCAGCTGCCCAATCACGCCGCCTAGGACAGCCCATGTATCGCCCCCCATTAATTCGCGCCCAAGGATGCGGGGAAGGAATGATTGCGGAGGAGGGAGGGGAGCAGGGAACGGGGATGAGAGCGGACGCGGGAGGGGGAGGGGGACGAGGTAGCAGGAAGAGCCGGGGAGGAGATTGTATTTGGGGGGGGCGGGCGGGCGGGAGGAGCGAAAGGCGGGACGGAGAGGCAGGAGGGGATGGGGATGGGGGGGAGGCGCGAGGCGGGCAGCGAGGAGGAGGGAGGCACGAGGCAGGCGCGCGTGGGGCCCCGGGGGGGAAGTGACCCTCGCGAGAGGGAGGGAGAGAGAGAGAGAGAGAGAGCGAACAAAAGCAGAAAGAGAGAGAGAGAGAGAGAGAGCGAGAGAACAAAAGGATAGAGAGAGAGAGAGAGAGATCGGGCGCCCCGCTCGCTCGCGTATGCGCCGCGCCTTGCGAGGCACCCCCGGGTGGCGCAGCTGCGCCGCCCGTTCGGCGGGGCGCCGCTGCCGCCCACGACCGGGCAGCTGGGGCAGGCACGCCGGGGGGGGGGGCACTCTGCCGAGCGACAAAAGGACGTACACGTACATGAATCCACGCTGGTTTCGAGAGTACGCATTGCGCAAATGTTCGTATAACGCGGCCGGTCTCGCGGATCGAGGGGCCGTGTTCATGTACATAGCTGGGCGCGTACGTCTTTTTGTGGGTTCCCTAGGTATGGGATCGAGGTCGGTTCGGGGAGGGTGCCCTAAGGCTTTTCGTGCTTGTCGGATGTTCTCGTGCATCCTGGGAGAGGGTGCCCTCGACTGCTCTTCACTTTGGCCAGCGGAGGGTCGCATGTCCTTGAAAGGTGGTCTTGTTCCCCAGGCTCGACTGTAGGGGTGGCCCTTCGCCAGATTGCAGAACTGGTGCGGACCAATAGGGGTCCTCCCAGCCGTGGCCTGCGCGCATGGATTTGCCCCCCCCTCTCCCCCCGCCCCCACCTTGGCTAAACCGCGCACCAAAGGCGACGCATGCTTGGGGTCGCTCCTACCTGCAGCCAATCTCCTCGGGCAGCGCCAAGGGGGTCACCACTTAAAGGGTTCTCATAATGAAACACTTGCCTTTGGGAAGGGGTCGAGCGGCGCACGGGCCCACGCATCAAAAAATCGCAGTGCCAGATGTAGGCGTTCTCCATTCGCCCTTCATTCTCGCTGGCATCCACCTGCTTCCCCTTTCCACCCTTTTTCCTTTTCCTTTTTATGTTCGTCCTGCCCTTCCCCCCGTCCCTCTTATCTGCAGATGCAGACGGCGAGACAAGCAAATCCATACATGTAAGCTCGTCGTGCAGTTTATTAAGTTCTAGCTCGCTGGGATACATTCCCAAGCTGTCATCTCGAGCAGGTCATGATTGTGATCCGTGGTCTAGAATAGAAATGAGCTGTGCTCAAGGCTCGAATTCATGCGCCCTTTTCACCGAGGACGGTCACACAGAAAGTACGCGACGAAGGGATGGGGGGTGTAAACGCAGAAACTCTGTTACCAACGGTGGGCCACGCAAAATCCGTGTGACCAGCGGGGACGTCACACAGAAGCTGCCAGCCGCTCCCGCGGGCTCCCAAGCGCTACCCGGCGCCCTCGCGGACTTCCACTGACAAGGGAGGCAAGGGGGATGCATGATGGTCGCACTGAGACTGCGTGGCCCAGGGGGGGTGGGAACTCCGGAGCTGTGTGACCGAGGGGCGGGGCCACACAGAAACCGCGTGGCCCACGCCATCTCGGGACACCCGCGAGGCGCACCCGAGGTGCTCCCGAGGTGCTCCTGGTCGCTCGCAGGCGCTCGGTACGGGGGGCTGGCCGCACAGCGGCGGTCTGACGAAGGAGCACTGGTCATCGTAGTAGCCGTGTGACCAAGGGAGTTGGAGCCGTCGGGGGGTCTTCGAGCAGCCACCCAAGACGGCCCCAAGGAGGAGGAGGAGGAGGAGGAGGAGGAGGACGAGGAGGAGGAGGAGGAGGAGGAAATGGGAGGAGGAGGAGAGGAGGAGGAGGAGGAGAGGAGGAGGAGGAGGAGGAGGGGAGGAGGAGGAGGAGGAGGAGGAGGGGACCCAGGGCTGGTTCCGGCCAGCAGGAGGGGCGGGCAGGTTCGGGGTTCTGGGTGCGAGGTCGGTGGCCGCTCCGAAGCTGGCCACACGGATGTTGCGTGGCTCGGGTGGCTGGTGGCATAGCTTGTGTGACCAAGCTGCGGCCACCCAGGAGGGTCACACCGGACTTGCGCGCGGGGGGCGGCATGCTGATCCGGGAAGCTTTGCTCATTTCCAGGCGAGCGCTGCTCATCTCCAAGTCTTCACCTGAGTGAGACGTGAGCGGAATCAGGCACGAGCGGAGTTGGAGATGACCTCCATGTAGGGTGAAGAGAAGATTCTCCAGCACATTCGGCGTGGCTTGTTTCCTGGCCACACGGGCCCTGCGACCCCCGTATTGGAGGCGGCCGTTCCCAGCGTGCGGCGCGGCCTGGCGCGCCGCATGGCGCCAGGTGCGGTTCAGTGCCCCGAGCCACGTGCGCTGTGGCGCGCAGGACGGCGCCAGGACGGCCACGGCGGCAACGGCGACGACGGGGAGGCCGAGGACAAACGACGACCCACCACGGCGGGGGCGGCGGGAGGCGAGCGAGGGCGGCGACGACGAGGTCGTGGACCTGCCGGACGAGGCGGAGGCGGTGGCCTCGCTCGAGGACGGCCCCGGCCCCGCGCGCCCCGCCCGCAGGGGCTGCGCGTGTGCAGGGTGGAAGTCGGCAAGCGTCCCCTCTGCCGTGCTTCTGCTGCCCTCGCGATCCTGATCGCCCCCGTCGCACGCCGGGCGGGATGGCGGAGGCGCGGGAGAGCCGACTCGACGTAAGAGTGACCTTCCGCCGGAGTGACCTTGGGTGCGGGCACAGATGGGTCCCCAGATGGCTGCAAACGAAGCTACGTAGCAGCGGCTTGCGCGCCCAGGTTGGGTCCACCCGCGGCCCCCGAGAGGCCGCGCGCCAAAGGTCACTCTTGCCCAGGGCCACTCTTGCGTGTAGCCGAGAGCGCGGGAGAGCGCTGCTGTTCGCCCGCCCTGTCGCATCTGCCGCATCCCGCAGGGGAACACGCCGGCCTCGCGCTCCGCGGGGCCACGGCCACCTGGTCTGGCGAGGCGGCCGGATCCGGGCTCGGCGCGGGGGCGCCGGTTACGTCAGCCTCGCCGCAGGGCGTCTGCTCGCGCTTCAGGTCGGCCCTCCGTCTGGCGGGTCCTGGTCAGGACCGAGCCTGGGAGTGAGAGCTCTTTTTTTTCCCCCTGCCACACCAGTGCTGTGGACCTGGCGTGTCTGGCATGGGGTCTGGGAGTGTGCTGTCGGGCGGTGGGGCGTGCGGAGGACGGGGGTACGGGTGGAGTGGGCGGTTGGAAGGGTCCGGGAACGGGGGGCTGTGGCTGGCGCCCCAGTGCCGGCCCTGCTCGCCCGCGCGCAACCGCGCGCCACCAATTGCGAAAAGGGAACGTGAGGAGAGACTAGGGGCGACCTTGGGGGGTCCAGATCCGGTTCGACATCGACTTCAGCCGGCCGGGTCTCATTCGATTCCTCAGACCCCCTCGCGTCGTCAAAACATCGCGACGGACGGCTTTCCCCTGTTTCTTGACTCCGAGGGCCCTCAAGAGAGGTTTCTGGATGAGAATCTGGCCTCCGGGAATGGGGTCTAGACCTCGGGGGGTCTATAGCATGAAAAAATCACGACGTCGGGGGTCTGGGTCCCACGGCCCGACGATCCAGTACGGCCCGATGCTCGCACAGCGTTGTTTTGCATCCTGGCGCGGCCGATGCGACTCGATTCCGACGCCGTGCCGATGCAGTCCGATCCGGCGCACGTTCCGATTCGATCCGACGCCCCTACACGATGCTGACTGCACAACGGCCAGCAGGGCCGCACCCCACCGGGAAGGAGAGGGCTGAGGGGGGTGGCTCGGCGGGGCGGGGATTCTAACAAAGCGGAGAGACGAGCGATGCAACCTGTCTCATCGGCGAGGCGACCACCTAAATGCTGTTGTGTTTGCAAGACTCCGCATCTCAGAGTGTCCGAGCCTCAGAGGAGGATGAGGAGGAGCAGGAACATCGGAGTATCGGATCTTGCGACCATGTCGGTTACGCATTCGTGGCCTCTGAATTTAGTTCTCCGCAACAGCATGGCGGTGAATAAATTTCACGAACAGGGCCAAGCCTCAGGTCATGTCATCGCTTGGGTGCATTAGCGTGCGCCAGCGTGTGATGATCGATGAGAGAGCGCCGATTTAGCGTCGATTAGCTTCGATTTAGCGTCGACTAGCGTCGACGAGCGTCGATTAGTTTCGGTCAGCGTCGATTCGCAAGAGCCAGCAAGATGGCATGGGAGACTCCCATGAGTAGTCACAGAAGCCGTCATTCGCCTCATTCCTCTCTGCCGATCCGCCTCCCGCTGAGTTTCTCGCGCACCTGACCGCTACCGCCACCGCTGTGCCGCCGAGCGCGCCGCTGCCGAGGCAGAAGTGGCTGGCGCCTTCTCTCTCTCTCTCTCTCTCGCTGCGCCTCCTGCACGGGGGCCGAGCATTTGGCGTCCGCGCAGCCCGCTTACGCTCACACGACCCAAACTCTGCCCGCACCCGCTGACCCCAAAAAGTAGTTGGTGCGCGGGCGTCGGCAGTGTGGCACATACGGTCGGGAATGTTTGGATAACGAGTCGCTAGGCCGTTTCTGGCCCACCACGCCTCGGAGCCACTCGCAACCCCGCTCTGGGTCCCCAAGCGTCAGTATCCCGAGCTTTCCCGAGCCTCCCGCCCCGCGGAGCGGAGCGACACGCCACCCGCTCGCAAGGCAGAGCGTGTCGCCGGGGCCGCCGCGGCGGCACGCTGCAGAAGCTTCCGACCGTAAGTGCGTGCTTGCATGATGGAAGTCGAGCTGTGCAGATCGGGAGGAGACGGAGGAGGCGGAGGAGGCGGAGGAGGAGGAGGAGGAGGAGGAGGAGGAAGAGGAGGAGGAGGAGGAGGAGGAGGAGGAGGAGGAGGAGGACCAGTCCCGGACACACGGCGGCGAAATTCTCCGCGGTGCCCAGAGGTCCCGGCCGCTTCCCCGGGGCCAGGTCGTCGCCCCGGGTGCTATTCTGATGGCTCGACGGGCGGGCCCCTCCGTGGGTTGAAATCCAAGGGAGGGACACACCACCCTGACGGGACAAATGGCGTTGACTAAACGGCCCTGGGCGTTTACTAAACAGCCCTGCCTTGTTTCATTCCTTCTTTTTTGTGTGCGTTTACCAAACGGCTTCGCGTGTCGGGGTGGTTCTTCTCGGGGTGGCTATTCTCTGTCCTCTAGAAGTCGAGGGACCCGCGCCTGGACTGAAAGACAACACGGGCGGGCATCACGAAAGCAAGTCATACCACGAGAACGAAGGAGGGATCACGTCGTCGGAGAGCCCGGGGGCTCGGCCGTGCAGACCGCCAGCTCCTCGTTCCGTGATCTCCCACCCCCGGCCACGCCTCCGGGTCGGCGCCGGAGGCCGCCGCGGCGGTCCCGGCGGCCACAAGTCGGGAGAAGGTGCTTGACAAGGAGTGGGGGCGGCAAAGAGGGGGGTGATGACTAGGGGGGGGGGCTTCCTCGAGGTCGGGGGCCCAGGGCCGTCGTTCGAGCGTGGGCACGACCTCTGGGGGTCGCTGCTTGCGATCCGCGCCTTGGGCCGGCTGCACAGACGCTGGCTCAGCGAGAAACGGCAGAAACGGCAGGGGGGGGGGGGATATCATGGCGGGGGCCATGGGATTTCCCCAGATTTCATGGCGCCTCTTCGTATCCCATTACGTCCCTGGCCCCCCCGCTGGGCCGCGCACGTGCCGCCGGCCATGATTTGCACCAACCCCTCTTGAACACCCCCTTCTTGGCCGCTCCCGACAAGGAGTGGCATGCCTTTTCCCAGCCCCCTCCCCCTCTCTGCGGTGTAGACGCGGCTCACGATTCTCAATGTAGCGACACAGAGCTGCCAAATTATGTCCAGCATGGGCAGTCCTGATTCCCTACCTAGGCTCTGCCTAGAAGGGTTTTACTGTCTTGGCTTAAAGGGCCGGGCAGTGCAACGCGCCCCGGGCGGTTATCCAGTCCCCTCTCGGAGCGGTTCCCCCAGTCCTCTGGGAGCTTTAGCTTTAGCTTTGGTTTTAGTTTTAATTAGCTTTAGCTTAGTTCTAGCGTAGCTTTAGCTTAGCTTTAGCTTTAGCTTAGTTTTAATTTAGCTTTAGCTTCAGCCTAGCTTTAGCTTAGCTTCAGCTTAGCTTCAGCTTAGCTTTAGCTTAGCTTCAGCTTATCTTTAGCTTAACTTTAGCTTAGCTGTAGCTTGGTGTTAGCTTAGCTTTAGCCTAGCTTTACCTTAGCTTTAGCTTAGCTTTAGCTTAGCTTTAGCTTAGCCTTAGCTTCGCTTTAGCTTAGATTCAGCTTAGCTTTAGCTTAGCTTTAGCTTAGCTTTAGCTTAGCTTTAGCTTAGTTCCAGCTTTTATTTAGCTTAAATGTAGCTTAGCTTTAGCTTAGTCTCAGCTTAGCTTTAGCGTAGCTTTAGCTTCGCTTCAGCTTAGCTTTAGCTTAGCTTTAGCTTAGCTTTAGCTTAGCTTTAGCCTAGCTTTACTGTTACTACTAATGCTGCTTTCCTAGGGGCTTCAACTCCTAGGTAGGGTCGCACTGGGATAATTTTTCGGGGGGTCCTCAGAAAATCCAGGGTTTGCTAGGGACTGGTTCCCCACCAAAGCGAACATAATCAAATTGGAACCCTCCAGGAACTCTCCGAAAAGCCCTTCAAGATCCTTCAAGAAGGGCTTTCGGAGGGCTTCGGGAAGACCGGGAAGACTTCCGTCGTTCTGGGGGAAGCCAGTCCCCAGCGAACCCTGGACTTTTTAAGATCACCTCAGGAAGTCCAGGGTCGTGCTCGCAGGAATAGAATGCTGCTCGGGCGTGTATTATGGCGATCGCAGCGCACCCCCGCCCCGACGCACCCTACCCCGCCCAAGCGTTACCGTCACCCGGTATCTCCACAGACATCCGGCCGCTCCAGTTTTTTCCATGCGTGGGCCCCGGAGGTCTGGACCACTTCCCTGGGGCCGGTTTTTCGTCCTGAGTCGTTTTTCGGGAGCCTTGAGACGGGGGTCAATGCAAACGGGGGTCAGCCAGGGCGCCAGATCCTGCAGGATCCTGCGAAGACCCCCTCTGGCTGACCCGGGTTAGCGAGCCGCTCGTGGCCGCGAGGCGGCCGCGCGTATTGGCTGACCCGGGTTTGCGAAGATCTGCGTTGCTGTTTTTGTTTTCTTGCATTGCAGTTTTTGGTTTCCTGCTGACCCGGGTCTGGATTGACCCGGGTCAGAAGATCCCCGAGTTTTTTGACGCTCCCGAGGCTTGGCGAGGGCCCCGGCGAGGGCCCCTGGAGGCCGAAAACAGCCCAAATCCCGCCGATCCAAATTTTTATTGGAGTGTCGGATCTCTGGGTCTGAAGGGTCGCTCTCGGGGGTGGACAGAATCCCCACCCTGACATGTCGATTCGTGAAATTATCTGTTTCGCTACTCGAGAGGGCGCTGCGGTCGTCATTTTCCAGGCTTGCGCCCGCCAGGTGTAGGCCCGAGGTCGTTGTCACTAAACCACCCTGACCTTCAGAAGGGCTCAAAAATAGCACCAGGACGTCGACGTCCTAATTCCTGTCGAGGTTCAAGGCAGTCCAGATAGATCTGTAGGTCTGGAGTGCTTTTTTGTGGCACTCTGAAAGGTCAGGGCACGGTTGACAAAAAGGGGTTCCGTCCATCCCCGGTTATCGCGCAGCCAGCTGTGGCAGCAGGGCTCCGCGCCGCCGGCTCTGCAGGCGGGCCCGCCGCAGAGCACCGCCCCGCGCCCGGTGCCCATCGACACCGCGGGCGGCGCGGCCCAGCCTCCGACGCTGGACGTCACCGTCGAGGCCGCCGGCGGCGGCGCCGCCGCCGCCACGCGCCGCTCGAGGGTGGAGGTTCGAGCTCGGAGACGGCCGGAATTCAGAGGAGGACGGGGTGCCCATTCTGCCAACTGCCCTCCCCTCGTTTTCGCCTCTGTGGGCCTCCCGGGAGGCCTTCGTCGCCACCGCTGGATTCGCCTCGGGATTCTGGTCAGAACGCACCCAGGGTGAGGTCCAGGGATTCGCGGCATCGATGCTTTTTGGTTTCCCCACAATTGGGTACGGAAAGGACAGGTGCTAAGTCCAACGGTAGTTCGTGTTCATTCTGAGCAGGATTCGTCGTCGGCGTCTGATGTTGACGGAATTGTGTTCGTGGGATGTGTTGTTCAGAAAACATGGATGCGCTGTCGGCGTCGCCGCGACCATCGTCCAATTGAGACAGAAGGCCGCCTGGCCAACAGCGGCCGTTGTCGGTAATTAATGGACAACGTTTGTTGTTTGGCATTGTTCCAATGTTTCCCGAACCCATTTCGGGCATGCCCATGAAATAGTAAATCATGGAAGCTTCCGCTTGTCTTGGATTTGCGAAAAGCGCCCAATAGCGTTCGACAGCGACAAGCAGCGCCCAGCAGTGCCGAATGCGAACAGCCTTCGAGTAGCGCTCACTAGCGACCGATATCGCTCAATAGCTCCATATGAAGGAGATACATTATGTTCGTTTTTCGCGCCGTTGGGCGCGCCATTGCACGCCATGGGGTCGACCAAACGCTTCCGTGAGTTGGTTTCTAAGATCGTGGGTCGAGCTGTGTTTTGTCTCGCAGTTTTCGACCTCATTCGAAGCAGGACGTTTTGCATGAGCCATAAGCGTTAGCTTCCGAGGGCAAGCGCGGGTTTTCCTGGATCTGCGCTGGACCCCCCTTTGGCGGCGCCTCCGGCGCCGCCTCCGGCGCGCTCCGCACCCCAGGGAGGGGGTCCAGCGCCGACGCGAAAGATCGGCGCGGAGTTCCGAACGTTTGTGTTTATGTAGGTTGTCTTCCTCCTTCTTCTTGTTATTCCCATTATATTCTATTAGTCGTAGTAATCGTATGTATCTTGCTCTTATGTTAAGTCTATGTTCCCCTTCTTGTTCTTCGTTTTCTCATTTGTTATGCTCCTCCTTCTCCTCTCATGGGTGCCCACTGCGGGCCCCGAGGCCACTATGAGCCGATCTGGGGCGGGCGTCGTGCCCAGGGACGTCGCGGTGCACCTCGAGAGGGGTCCGGGGACCGAGGGTGAGGTGGATTCCGTTGCGCTGCGCTGCGTTGCGTTGCGATGCGTTGCGTTGCCTCCTCCTCCGCCTCCTCCTCCTCCTCGTCCTCCGTCTCCTCCTCGTCCTCCGCCTCCTCCTCCGCCGCCTCCCCGTCCTCCTCCCCCTCCTCTCCGTCTCCTGCTCCTGCTCCCAGTCCTTCTCCTCCTCGTCCTCCGCCTCCTCCTCCTTCTCCACCTCCTCCTCCTCCTCTCCCTCCTCCTCCGCCTCCTCCTCCTCGTCCTCTGTCTTCTCCTCCTCGTCCTCCTGCTCCTCCTCCTCCTCCTCCGCCTCCTGCTCCGCCGTCTCCTGCTCCTCCTCCTCCTCCTCCACCGCGTCCCCCCCCCCTTCCCCCTCCGCCTCCTCCTCGTGCACCTTGGGTGGCGACCGATTGGGGGGGGTAAAGAGAGTTTCTCGTGCCCCAAAGGGGCCCCCTTGGCCCTTGGCCCCAAAAGGGGCACGAAAGGTGCACGGTTCTGCCCCCCCACCCCATAAATCGCACCCCCATGCAGCAACGCCAGAGATTTGGGTTAGGTCGCTGCTGCCGCTGCCGCGGCCGCCGTCTCGCAAGGCGGCCACCGCTGCCACGCGCCAGCGTCGTCGCCGCGCCGCCGTCGTCGTCATTGTCGTCGTCGTCGTCGTCGTCGCCGCCGCCGCCGCGCCGTCGTCGTCGTCGTCGTCGTCGTCGTCGTCGTCGTCGTCGTTGTTGTCGTCGTCGTTGTCGTCGTCGTCGTCGTCGTCGTTGCCGTGCCGCCGCCGCCGCCGTCGTCGTCGTCGTCGTCGTTGTCGCCGTCGTCGTCGTCGTTTTCGTTGCGTCGTCATCTGCATTGTTGCCACTTGCAGGAGCATATCCCGTGGGCTCTGAGTTCCCCCCTTTTTCTGTTGCCTCACATCCGCCTTCCACGTGTCCCTCCCAGCGACGCCGGTTAGACATGTTGCAGGACGCGGTAAGGGCATGGTTTGAGCGAGCTTGCCCGAAAATCACGCACAGGAAGAAAGCAGGCTGGCGAGAGCTCCACGAGGCATCTCTCGCATGGATCCACCATGTCGTGACAGCGTTCTGGCCTGCGTGAGAACCAAAGTGCTGGAGAAGCGCGCGCCGTTACTTCTAGATATGATATACGGCACATGAGCTCGATGTGCTTGTGTTGCGCCTTCCTGGCAGACGTCACGTGCCCCGCCCTTGCTGCTCCGCCTTGCTCCCTGCGTCCTGCCTGCTCCTCCCGTCGTTGGGCCTGCCGTTTAATTTTCCTCTGGCCTGGGATCCAGGCCTGCCGATATTGCGCTTATGCTTCGATTGGCATCGACCGCAGGCTCCGTCAGCACATACCCGACACTCTGCTCAAATGTTTTGTCGACGCCGACCGTGATCATGGTCCATGCCGGCCGCCGTGGATCCGTGAGGAATCCCGCGCATTGACGGTGACCAAGATGGACGGTAACCAAGATCGGCACCGACGTTTCCGTGTGCAGTCTTGTTCATGGTCACCGTTTTTGGGATCGGAAAATACGTAAGGGTTTCCGTAGCTATTCTTGCTCAAGCCATTTGGTTCAAGCAAACGTGTTGAGTTAAGTTTTTCAGTCGATGCTAAAGCATCCAGGCCTTTGTTCACCTCCGTTTTCATCCCAAATGGCATTGATCGCTAGGTTGACCCTTGCCCGTGATAATTTCGTTGCAAATGAGGATGTCAACAGTTTCACATTCGGACTCTTGCCAGTAAGTGAAACATCGTTGGCTTGTGGGACGCTTCCAGCAGAGTCCTACCACGCTCACAGCATGGCGCGGATAATAAAGGTGACCCCCCCTCCACCCCCTCTGTCTCATCATCCACGGGGTGTATGTGAGTTGAACTTGCCACAAGAATCGCGGGGGGCGAACTTTGGGCGAACATCATAGTCCCCCCCAACGTTCGCAGCGTCGCTCTGAATGTTCATATCATGCATAGCACCATGAGCCATTCGCATTATCAATGTCGTGAGGATGTATCAAGCGAAACGCACGGCTTTGAAGATTCGCTGAGTCCGCGACGAGCTTGTCGAGGATGCCTCAAACCAAGACGCTTGGCTTTGTAAAAAGCGCTGTCGCCAACGTGTATCATTCTACCCTAGGGTTTCTCAGGATTCGTGATCACCCAGCTCCTTCAAACAAGCTCCAGGAGAAGGCTTCGTCAGATCAGCTTGGAGGTCAGTCAAGACCCATTCAGACATCCCAACAACAAGATCACCAGGAAACATGTCATTCTCCTAGGACCCCAAACGTAATTATCCCCAGGGTGCGGTTCTCACCAGCATATGATAATACTTATCTCCCTGGTGGCGTCTTTCATTTACACCGCGACTCTGCGGGCATCAAGCAGATCTGATCTCTTGTGTTGTCATATCCGAGCACCTTCTTTGTTTTTTTGTGGTCAAGTGGAAATCAACGTTCACCTTCGCGATTCAGTGGGCACACCAGCAATGTGCCTGGCGCAGTCGTGATCTCATGTTGTGCGCTTTTCAGTGGTTTTAAGCGTTGGGTTACGCCAGTGATTCCTGGCTGCCGCATGCGCGTCACACCTCGCTTGCCCAGCAGCAGCAAGGGCCACGTCACAGAGAACATATTGACAGCACCTGGCACTGCAGAATTGGATGCTGCTGTCAATGGTGTGCGTGAAGCCCTTTCTGGCCCATCATTCTTACCTCATGGTGGCCATGTGGGCATTACTCTCATGCACGGCTACCCAGGCACAGCGTGGCCAGATGAGTCCCATCATACTACGCAGGTGAGCGAAGATGAGTTGGCAGACGTGGCCGCAAGAAGGTTCAAAGGATCGGACGAGTCTTGTTCTGTTCTTTGCGTGGGCTAAGATTTGAAAGAGCGTGTTCTACCGATGCTGGCGGAAAACCGGGGGGGTCACTACCGGTTCGAACCCCTCCCCCCCCCCCTCCTCCGGAAAACCGGGGGGGTCACTACCGGTTCGAACCCCTCCCCCCCCCCCCCAGCTCATCATGAAAAGGGGGGGGGGGTCACTACCGGTTCGAACTCCTCCCCCCACCCCTCGAAAACTGGGGGGGGTCACTACCGGTTCGACCCCCCCCCCCCCCTCGAAAACCGAGTGGGGGTGCGGACAGTGGTGGGGACGGTGTTGGTGGGGACAGTGGTGAGGGGATAGCGGGACAGTGGTGGGGACAGTGGGACAGTGGGACAGTGGTGGGGACGGTAGTGGTGGGGACAGTGGTGGGGACAATGGTGGGAACAGGGGGGGACAGTGGACAGTGGTGGTGACGGTGGTGGTGGGGACAGTGGTGTGGGGACAATGGGAATGAGGTGGAAACAGTGGGACAGTGGAGGGTACAATGGTGGTGGGGACAGTGGTGAAGGCGGTGGCGAGGACGGCGGTGGGACAATGGGACAGAGGTACAGTGGGGACAGTGGTGGGGACAGTGGGGACAGTGGTGGGAACAGTGGGACAGCTCAGTGGGACAGCGGAGGAGTCAGTGGGACAGTGGGGACAGTGGGGATAGTCGGGCAGTGGTTGGGGCCGTGGAGACAGTGGGGAGAGTGGAACCGTGGTGGGAACAGTTCTGGGGACAGCGGGGACAGTGCGACAGTGGTGGGGCCACTGGTGGGGACAGTAGGGGCGGTGGTGGAACCAGTGGGGACAGCGGTGGTGAGGACAGTGGTGCTGGGAACACCAGTGGGGGATGTGATGCGGACGGTGGTGGGGACCGGGAGTCGTTTGCTGGCGGTGAATAAGGGGGGGGGGGTTCGAACCGGTAGTGACCCCCTCCGGTTTTCCGGATCCGGAGGGTAAGGGGGGGGGGAGGGGGTTCGAACCGGTAGTGACCCCTCCCGGTTTTCCGGATCCGGAGGGGGAGGGGGGGGGGGGGGGGGGGGGTTCGAACGGTAGTGACCCCCCCCCGGTTTTCGAGCGGGAGGGGGGGGGGGGGGGAGGGGTTAGGGGAGGGGGGGGGTTTTGCTGGGGGAGAGGGGGGGGGGGGAGGGGTTCCAGCAGGGGGGGGGGGGGGATTTCGGAGAGGGGGGGGGGGGGGCGACCCCCGGGTTCCGGAGGAAAATGTTGGCAATTTTCCACAGTAAAGCGGCGGTGGATCACGCTCTCTCTAAGATTTTCATTGCAAGTACATGCCACGGCTTGTTTCCCTTATGCAGACAGGTCGGATCCCGAGAATGGGGAGTAGTTACAGCGGTGCGTTCAGACTCTTGGCGTTGGACCCACGCCGCCTGCACTGTAGCAAATATGATCATATCAAACTAAAATCAGGGATCTTCACGATGTAGACTTGGTGGTCGCGCACTTGGGTGACAAGCGGCTCAAGGTTGACGGTTGGGCCAATCTACCTCTAGGAATCGCCAGGTCAGGGTTATTAGCCAGTGCATTCCAGGAGTATTATGGGAATGAGGAAGATTCAGTTAAGAATATCTACATGTCCGTTAAATATTCGGCAACGGTTCCACCAGATGGTCAGCTGTAAACGGGAGTCGAACCCAAAACCATGGCTCTGGTCATGAGCAATACGACCCACTGCGCTATGTCCATGCGCGTGCAAGTGTGGCTAAGTTGTGAGACGAGGGAGGTTAGTTACTTATTTTGCTGCGGTGTCATGGCTAAGTCGATCGGCTTGAACCGATCACGTCAGGTGTGATACCACTGTGGGAACAAGTACGTAAGAATACATGGATTTTCAGGGATTTCGACACTGTGCGTTGCGCGCCCGTTCGTAACTCGAGGCTGGCTGGAAGGTCCAATTCTGACTTTTCCCTGGACCGAAATCCTGCTTAATCCGGCTTGATCCCGCCTAATCCGGCTCCGGCCTAATTCGGTTCAATCCCGTTTAATCTGCGGCCTAGTTTGGCGTAGCAGCCCCCCAATGAGGTTTCATTCGCCGGCAACCTTCCTGCGATGACCTCCCAGTAGCTGCCTCCAACCTGGGAGCAGGTGCCGACCTCGGCGTCGCTGCTGGCGCAGCCGCCGCGGGAGTGGCAGGAGGGGGTCGGCGCGGCTGTCGGCGCAGCCGCCCCCCAGCCGTCGTTCCCAGGAGGGGCCGGGGGTTAGGGCAGTGCCAAGGGTCGACTATACTCTGGACTTCTAGAAGATGCTCGGTCGCGGGCGCTCTCTGGCCATACCGCTGGCGCAACGGCATACTACAATATGATTGTGCTATATGATCTGGTCGGACGCACGCCTCCAAGGAGGACACATAGTACTAGTATGTCCTTCTGCGTCCCAGTGAAGTTTCTTCGAGTGGTCTCTGTTTTTCGTTGACATCTCGGGTTGTCGGCAGACAGCGAGGGGGGGAAGTGAGAAGGAGAAGTCCTTCTCAGAAGGCGGCGGGGCTTCTCAGAAGCCATCGCGCCTTCTGGAAGGTTTTCTGCGTCTTCGGGGAAGGCTCAAGAAACTTCTCAGAAGGCTGGACTTCCGAGCCTTCTGAGAAGGTTCGCCCCTTCTCACTTCCCCCCTCGCTCGCCGCCGAAAGGGGGATCAACACTACGGTCATGAATGTTGTCTTGATTAGCGCGTCGTGCCGCCACTTCTGGCCTACCACGCTGCGGGGCGACACGCGAGCCACGTCCCAGTCCGCGAGGGCTAACAAGGCCCGAGCCTTTGCCAGCTTCCCAGCCCGCGGAGCGGCGCGACACGCTATCCGCTTGCAGAACACAGCGTGTCGCCGGGACCTCCGCCGCGACACGCTACTCCGACTCGTTTGATAATCTCCCTCCCTTGGACGGGCGGGGGAGGTTTCGCCGCCGCCGCGACACGCCAAGCACAGACACTACTAGTGGTGACCCCCTTTGGCATTGTCCCAGTTGAGAGTTCGGGTCGGACGGAGGGAACCAGGCCGCCCAAACGGGGTCGAAACAAATGGTGTCGGTGCGGTGGGTCGCGCCGCATCGCCGATGCATCGTCGATGCGGCTCGATGTGGAGCATGATTTTCTCCGCGCCGATGTCGCTGATGCATCGCCAACGTCGCCGGTGCATCGCCGATGCATCGGCGATGCGGCACGATCCACCGACCTCATCCCCCCTTCCCGAAGGGTCAGCCGGGCGGCGCCAACGGTCAGGATCGACAGAAGGACGCGCACGTGCATGAATCCACGTTGGTTTCGAAAGCACGCATTTCGCGAACGTTCGTGAAACGAGACTGGTCTCGCGGGCTAGGCGGCCGCAGTCATGTACGTGCCTTGGCGCGTACGTCCCTTGTGGGCTACCTAAACGGGGACACTTTGTGGGTCAGTACCTCCTGAATCTTCGCAGGTGATGTTTCTACCCCAACCCCCGACTCTTCGACGAAACATGAAGCCGCTCAGAAAAGGAAGGTAACCCTGAGATAAACCCCAAGGTGGCTATTCGGACGCACCCCTATCGAGGATGGACGCGCCCCCCATCGGATATCCTAGGTTTGGGTTCTAAATTTCCAGTATATTCGAAAACCCCACGAAGCCTTGGATAGAGAACGACATATCCCTTTTGAAATGTCGAGGGTCGCGGAAGAGTGATGACCGGTGATCGGTGAGTCCGTTTTGCGGCTTTGGACGTCTTGGGATCCCCGAGGGGGATTCTGGGGCGTCCAGGGGTCCGCCTCCTGGAGGAGACAGGCGACACCCTTCGTGGTAGCTCCTCTTGGGGCTGCCTGGTGCGCATGAGCGCAAGTCAGTGCCAAGGGGGAGGCACCACTGCAGTTGGGTCTGGGAAGCACAGTCGGACCGAGGTACAAGATCGAGGTCGGTTCCGGGAGGATACCATCATGTTCTTCGTGTTTGGTTGGATGCTCTTGTGCATCCTGGGGAGGGCACAGGGCACCCTAGGATGTTCTTCTGTCCCAGGTCTGGCTGTGCCGTCGACCCTGGAGAATCGAGGGTGCCCTCCAGGCATCCAAACTGGGGTTGGAGTCGACTGGGTCTGAGGATCGCCCCTTCATCGCCGCTGCATCGGGGATGTGGCTCGATGTGGGGCCCCATCCTCTCCACGGCGCCGACCTTGCCGGCAGGGTCGGGAAGGTTTCTGGACGGTTTTGGCCGGTTCTAGGAGGCTCTAGGGATGCACGGGCCGTGAGATCAGGCGGGGACGGCGGCGACGACCGGGCGCCGTGACGGGGCCACGACGTCCGCTCAGGGCCGCGGCGCCGCGCAGGTCAAAGAGTGCGGCCGGCGCGCAGCGCCGGAGAGCGGCGGCGGCGCCGCCGCTGCCGGGCATCGGGCCGATGCGCGCGGGGCACGGGCCACGCGGGGCCCATCTCGAGCCATTGTATCCTCTGCGATGTATGTGTCGGCCAATCTGACTTCCCGGCGATCCGACGTAGCCCGGTGCGTAGATGGCGTTCGTGTGCATCTTGGTGCAGCCGATCCGATTCGATTACGACTTTGTGCCAGCGTGGCCCGAGCTGACGCGCATTCTGATTTGATCCGGTTTCCCGAGTCGATGATGACCGATCTTGCCGTGAAAATGAGCAGTGCCAGCGACGGCGGCTAGGCACGGCGAGCGGGCTACGGCTTGGCGGCGGCAAAGCGACGGCGACAGTTAGGCGACCAGAGAGTGTTTGCATGATGGAGGAATGGGGGGGAGAGTGGACGGGACGGGATTTTTGTTTACCTGGACCGTGCCCTGCCATCAATATCATTCGAAAGCAAGGATGTCTGCCGTCAACGTCACACCTTTTTGCTTCGGACGACGGCACTTTCAAATGAGAGGCCACCTGTTCTTATTACTCCTCGTCGCTCCCTTCGTCCCCTGTTCACCCAGGATCTTGAGGGAGCCCAACGTGGTGTGGGCCTTGCACGATGTACACGCGAACAGCGGACTCTCATCGGAGCAGTCAAAAGAGAGGAGCGTATGCCTTCGCTCTTTCACCCCTCACAGGGCCAAGGGAACCTCCCCAGTACAATGAGCAGGCGAAGGGCGGCTAGCTTGGCGCGTGAAGCGCGAATAGGTGTCGCACCTCCAATACGCTCTACATCGCGACCGCTCGTGGTCGATCGTGGGAGCACAGACTTTAGCCACCTTCAGGGCCTCGATATATTCAGCTTCTGACAATTCGAGCCGAGGCCAAGCAGGGAGGAGCCCTGCTCCAAGCTCGATCATTGCTTTGCACACTCGAACCTGCCAGTACAGAAGCTCACGCTCGTTGTTAGTGGGGCTCGGGTGCAGCCGAAGACCGAGCTTGGGTACCCTGTCAGCCGAGTCATCGCCTGCCTCAAAGAAGGCGTCCTGGGCAGAGTGGACCTCTCCTTCCAGAGCGTGGGCCTTCACTTGCTTGAAACCACGATGCAGCAGGAGGAGGGAAAGTGGACGAGGAGGAGGAGGAGGAGGAGGAACAGCAGCAACATTGACAGGGTGAGGAGAGAGAGGGGTGGCATGGATGCAACAACAGGGTGGGGAGGACCGGTGGAGGCAGGAGACGGGAGGCGGGAAAAGGGAAGGGGAGGAGCAGGATAGCCGGAGGAGGGAAGGAGAGGAAAAGAGAAAGGGGGCAGATGGGGGCGACGACTGCGGAGGAGCAGGGGGAGGAGGGGGAGCAGGAGTCGAGGGAGCAGGAAGAGGAGGAGGAGGAGGAGGAGGGGGAGGAGGAGGGATGGGGTCTCCCGAGGTCCCTGGAGCTCCCGCAGGGCCCCCCCCAGGAAGTCTCCGCAGAGGCCGCCGCGGAGGCTCGGGGGGGGCTCCTGCTCGAGCTCCGGGTCGGGCTCCGCGGCAGCTGGCCCCACGAGGCGGCGTCGCCACTCGGCGTCGGCAGTGCGACGGGCGGCGGCGGAGAGCGCCAGCGGGGCGGCGGCGGCGGCGCGCGCGGGCGCACGGCTCCTCCTCCTGCTCCTCCTCCTCCTGCTCCTCCTCCTCCTCCTCCTCCTCCTATCCTTATTCCTTATTAGAATATACTCCTACTCCCCCCTCAGGCCGGCCATTAGGGGCCGCATCCGGGTGGTCCCATCCTAACCTGTAAAAAACAATATAAAATCAACATTTTTCTTATTTTTTCCTCTCGACATGGACGTCCTGTCGTCCACGGCGATAATCCATTGCAAAAAATACCACAAAGAGCACACGCGCGCGTTCATGTCATAATCTTACCGAACACCGTGTGTTTGCAAGCATTTCAACATAAAAACATCAAAAACCCAATGCTTTTTCACAAAAATTGTACAAATTTCCCGCCCGGGCTCTCTTGCTGAAATCATAGGAAAACCATAGGAATCTTAAGAATTCGGTCAAATCCAGCGATTTCACGTCATCGCGCGGTGCACTCGCGATGCTCTGTCATGCACCCAGGCCGCGAATCCTGTGCAAAAAATACCACAAAGAGCACACTCGCGCGTTCATGTCAGAATCCTACCGAACACCGTGTGTTTGCAAGCATTTCAACATAAAAACATCAAAAACCCAATGCTTTTTCACAAAAATGCTTTGGGGTGTCCTGTCAGACCGTCGGGCTTCCTCCAGCCACCTCTGGCTTCCTGCGGTGTACCGGGCCATTCTCGACTCGTCTGGCAATGCGTGCGCGGCATTCAACACGCGCTCGCCAGTTCCCGTCGGCAACCGCCATCGCGGCCGCATCAGCTGTACCAAACCGGCTGGCCGGTGTGACTTCGGCCCCCAGTTGTGCCAGCTTTGCTTCTTATGTTGTGGGAGGGCGGGTGGGACTGGGCATGCCATGCTTGACTCGCTCGAGCTGGCTAGCTTGACTCCTACTCCTACTCCTACTCTTCCTTCCTTATTAGAATATAGAATATACTCCTACTCCCCCCTCAGGCCGGCCATTAGGGGCCGCATCCGGGTGGTCCCATCCTAACCTGTAAAAAACAATACAAAATCAACATTTTTCTTATTTTTTCCTCTCGACATGGACGTCCTGTCGTCCACGGCGATAATCCATTGCAGAAAATACCACAAAGAGCACACGCGCGCGTTCATGTCAGAATCCTACCGAACACCGTGTGTTTGCAAGCATTTCAACATAAAAACATCAAAAACCCAATGTTTTGCTTTCGCCAAAAATCTACAAATTTCCTGCCCGGGCTTTCTTGCTGAAATCATAGGAAAACCATAGGAATCTTAAGAATTCTGTCAAATCCAGCGATTTCACGTCATCGCGCGGTGCACTCGCGATGCTCTGTCATGCACCCAGGCCGCGAATCTTGTGCAAAAAATACCACGCGGGCGACATGCGCGCGCGTCGCCGCGAGCGCATGCTCAAATCTTTCTAGAGTCGTCGCCGTCATTGGCACCGTCGCATGGACGTCCTGTCGTCCACGTCGCAAAATGCATGGCAGGAATGGGACGCGGCGCACACCCCGCGCCCGCCCATCCAATCCGTCCCATTCTAATCTGCAAAAGACAATACACAGTTTTGTTTTTCTTGTCAACATGGTCGTGCTGTCGTCACGTCGCAAAATGCGTGGCAGGAATGGGACGCGGCGCACACCCCGCGCGAAGGGGTGACATGGTACTACTACTACCACTACCACTACCAACACCACTACCACTGGTACTACTACTCCTGCCTCTTGGGGCCTCCTGGGCCCCCTTGGGGTGTCCTGTCAGACCGTCGGGCTTCCTCCGGCCACCTCTGGCTTCCTGCGGTGTACCGGGCCATTCTCGACTCGTCTGGCAATGCGTGCGCGGCATTCAACACGCGCTCGCCAGTTCCCGTCGGCAACCGCCATCGCGGCCGCATCAGCTGTACCAAACCGGCTGGCCGGTGTGACTTCGGCCCCCAGTTGTGCCAGCTTTGCTTCTTATGTTGTGGGAGGGCGGGTGGGACTGGGCATGCCATGCTTGACTCGCTCGAGCTGGCTAGCTTGACTCCTACTCCTACTCCTACTCCTACTCCGCGGCGGCGGAGGGCGCCAGGGCGGTGGCAGCAGCGCGCAGCAGCGGCGGCGGCGGCGGCGGCAGCGCTGCAGAGCGAGAGGGGGAGTTGGCCTCCTGTCGAGACGCCGAGTGGACCACTTCAGGCTCCGGAGGGGCTCCAGTGTTTGGGCCGTGGGCTCTACGTCGGGGGACCTTCTCGTGGCCGCGGCGGGAGCAAAAAACCGGCGTTCCCTATTCAGCCTTCCGCACGGTCGAAGCCGGTGGTAGGGATGGGTGACCTTCCATGGAAGGTCACCCAGCCGGTGCGCCCCCATCCCCGTTCGACATGGGCACCCCTGTCGCGCACACTACGTAACGATCAGTTCTGGTTGTATGGTAGCACGAGTACTGCACCTGCGGGCGCGCGGGGGCAAGAGGGCAGGCGGTGCTGCCGGCCCGCCGATGCAGCTGGGTTCGGCCGCCAGCCCGGGAAGCTGGACCCCCTGCGGCCTCGGCGCCCCGTCGCCCCGGGTCGTCCTGCTCGGGCCAGGCGAGGGAGGAGATCGGGGGGTCCTAGACCCTGACCTTCCAGAGTGCCACAGAATAACACTCCAGACCCATAGATCTATGTGGGCTGCCTCAAACCTCGACAGGAATTAGGACGTCGACGTCCTGGTGTTATTTTTGAGCCCTCCTGGAATGTCAGGGTAGAGGAGGGGTTCTCCCAAGGTCACCGACCGCGTTCCACCAGTCGCAAAGTGGCTACAGCTGGACCGCGGTACAAGATCGAGGTCGGCTTGGGGAGGGTACCCTGGTGTTCTTCGCGTTTGTTGGATGTTAGTTTACAGATGTTCTTTTGCATCCTGGGGAGGGTACCCTTGGATGCTCTGTGTATTTTGGCCGACGGAGGGTCTCATGTTCTTGAGGGTTGCTCTTCTGGCTTAGGTCCGACTGTACTCACTAACGTCTTAAACAATGACTCCGACGGAAGGACCCCGCATGAGTATCTGTGTGGTTCGCCCTTATCCCTTCCCTCCTCGCCCAGGCGGACACCCTCCTCTCGCCCTCTGCTCTGTCCTCTCCTCATCCTCCTCTTGTTTCTCCTCGTCGTCCTCCTTGTATTTCTCCTTCTCCTCGTCCTCCTCTCCCTCCTCATCCTCCTCCTCCTCCTCCTCCTCCTCCTCCTCCTCCTCCTCCTCCTCCTCCTCCTCTCCTCCTCCTCCTTTTCCTTGCTCTTCTCCACCTCTTCTCATCATCAACCTCTCCCTACCCCTTCCCTGTCCTCATCCTTACCCTGCTTTTTCTCCATGTGTTCCCCCATTCCTCCCTGGTCGGTGCAAGCAAATCGATGTTCCTCGGCGCCGTCGCCGCCTCGGCCCGCGCGCGCGCGTTCGCCGACGGCTGGTTCGCGAAGCCTTTGGAACAGCCCCGCGGGCCAAGCCTTTGGGACAACCCCGCGGGCTGCTGGTGCGCGGGGGCAGGCCGTCGGGACAACCCCCCGGGCCAGACCGTTGGGACAACCCCGCGGGCCTCTAGCTGCGCGCCGCGGCGCGCAGGCGGGAGGCAGCACGAAGCCAAGGTCCGCGGCGAGCTGCTCGGCCTCATCACCGGAGGTCATCGCTTTCTCGTCAATTTTCCGGAGCGCCTTCCGCAGGGGTGCCGGCGGCCCGCGCTCCAGGATGTTTCGTGGGGGCGGCCACAAGATCAACGTGTTCCGCATGCACGTGGCGCGGGAAAACATGACGTAGAGGTGCAGCCACCTTTTCTCGGGTGACACGCCCGTGCCTCCAGCGTCCTCATCCCTGGCGCAGTCAATGGTGACGCCCTTGCGCAGCGTCTGGCCCTGCGGCAGCGTAGAAATCAGGTAGGACGCGCGCGCCAGGGTGAACCCCGAGCGGCGCACGACGTGCGTCCCCGAGCTCTGCCACGTGAGCTGCTGCTCGCTGGGCCTGAACATCAGCAAGCTCCTCGCCCTCACCTCGGCCCCGCCGCCGTCGTAAGCGCCTGCGGTGCCCTGCACCAGCAGCTCAGCGACGTACTTGTCGATCAGGGACTTTTTGAAACCGTGGACCTGCAGCCAGATTCCTCGCGGTAGGTAGCGGGCGCGAAATAGTTGGCCCGGCGCGAACTCCTCGTTGTTCCGTTCGTTGTCTGGGTTGCAACTCGAAGGTCACGATGGTGGCCCGTTGTTCTTGCACGAGCCCCAGCTTCTCCAGCTCCTCCTGCACGGCCGCGAACAAAACCTCCATGCCGACGTGTGCCGGTAAGACGCCGTGGATGTCCCCCGTCTTGTGCATGTTCGGGACGTTCAGGAGACGCCGGCCCGCGTCTGGGTCACCTCGAATCGTGCTGTACTCGTCCACGGCCTGCAGGGAGATGGGAGGCACGCCCAGACGCCGCGCGTCACCCGGCGCCCAATTCAGGCCTGAGGAGCCCAAAAGTGACGACAATTACAGGGTTGGGGATGCCCCCCTTCGGATCGCCAACGTGAAGCGCGGGACCCATAGGGAGGGGGCTCCCGCCTCCGATTTCCTTACCATTTATTCAGAAACGGAGCTGTTGCTTGATACTTCCTCCATATTAGGGCCACAGGGGCCCCAATGTGACGACAGTTGGAGGGTTGACGATGGTCGGATTGCCAACGTGAAGTGCGGGACTTATAGGGAGGGGGGCTCCCGTTTGAGACTTCCTCACAATTCACTCACAGACAAAGTTCCCGCTTGATACCGCCTCCATATTCAGGCCTCAGGAGTCCAAAAGTGATGACAATTACAGGGTTGAGGATGACCTGTTCGGATTACCAACGCGATGTGCGGGACCCATAGGGAAGGGGTTCCCGCCTGAGACGTCCCCACAATTCACTCACAGACGAGACTCCCGCTTCAGACTTCCTCCATATTCAAGCTAGGGAATGAGTGATGACGAAGTGATGAGTGAGGGACGGATGATGATGATTGTGAGTGAGTGGGCGATGATGATGATGACGATGAGTGAGTTTGTGAATGGGTGTGTGAGTGATCGGGTGATGATGATGGTGGTGGTGATGGTGGATGTGAGTGTGTGAAAGAGTGAGTGTGGGTGTGAGTGAATGTGTGAGTGATGACGATGAAGTGCGTAAGTGAGGTGTGAGTGTGCGTGTGTGCGAGTGTGATGATGGTGATGATGATGATGATGATGCTGCCGATGCGGATGATGATGATGATGATGATGATGATGTTGTTGATGATGATGATGATGCTGATGATGATGAAAATGGTGGTGGTGGTGATTGTGATGATGACGAAGAGAGGGGGAGGAGAGATCTTGCGCGGGGTGTGTGCAGAGAAAACAAGAAGCCCATTTTGGATGTGGGAAAATACATGCTTGCCTCGGTGTTCTGGATCGTGCATCCTCCGCGGCGGATCCTTGCCATTTGCGAATAGTTCCTCTGCGAGTGAGTAATGGAACGCGCTTGCCTACAAGGAGGGGGCAGGGAAAAAAAACAGGGGGATACTCACACTGCCGTCTTAGACGGGCCCGTTTCTGAACGACTTTCCTACAGCAATGACCTGCCCCTCCCTGACATCCGACGCTGCGAGCAAAAGTGCAAAATCGTGAAAGATCACGACCGGAGACCCGGACCCAATCTTTCTGCATCCCTTTTCGAGCCGGATCGATCTGTGAGGGCCTCGGGGCCCGAAACTGGGCGGAAACGCCCGGTGTGAAAGGATTGCAACGCCAGGCTCTCGGGGCCCGCCCTGACGTCCTGCTGCGCCGCTGCATGCAGCTGGTCTCGGCCCCGCGGCCGGGCGCTTCGGCAGGCGACCGGCGTCGGCCTCGCCGCTGGGCGCCCTCCTCGGCACGTCGCCGCCTCCTGCGCCAGGAGGCGCCGGGGTGTCCTCTGGAGGCGAAGTGAAAAGGGGTGTCTTCCGGGGTGTACTCCGGGGTGTCATCCGGGGTGTCTTCCGGAGGCGCCGGGAGGCGCCTCTTGCGCGGGGAGGCGCCGGGGGCGAAGTGAGAAGGAGAAGGCCTGCTTAGAAGGCGGCGGGCCTTCGCAGCGGGCCTCTGGCCTTGCGAGAGGTGTTGCCGTGTCTATGCGGGGGAGGCTGGCAAGACTGCTCGGAAGGCCAGGGGACTTCCGAGCCTTCTAAGAAGGGCCTCCGTCTCCCTTCCTCCCCAGGCTGGCCGCCGTGTCTTGACCTGATGGCTGTGCCGCTGAACGGCCGTTGCCCGCGAGCGGCGGGGCAGCCTTGTGTTGTGCCACGCAGTTGTTATTCATTTTGTTGGGGGAAGCTGGACTGGCTAACTGGCGAACCTTTGCAATTGTACAGCGGAGGGCTCGGGTGCGAACGCGGGCGTGCCCCGTGGCGCCGTAGTAAGCGCTCCCGAGCAGCTGCGTGAGCTGAACTGCGACCCCCCCCTCGCTTGAATTACTGCCCTCCGCCCGTCTCTCGTCCGATCACACCTGCGCGCGCGGGCGCGCTGCGGCCAGAGACGGCTCGGAGAAAACGTAGCTGCACGAGTATAAGTTGTCGGGGTCCGCGTGGGTCTACAGTCGGTTCGGAGAGGGTACCTTAGTGTTCTTCGCGTTTGCTGGATAGTCTTGTGCATCCTGGGGACGGTACCCTTGGATGTTCAGTGCGTTCTGGCCGGCAGGGGGTCTCATGTTCTCGAGGGATGTTCTCTTCGGGCCCAGGTCCGACTGCAGCAGCGTGTGCTCCAGCTTTCGGGGCCCGCGCGGGTGTGTTGGATCGGCGCGGGATCACTGTTTTGGACTGGTGGGCGGTGTCGAAGAGGCGCCGCCAAGGGAGGTCCCGGCGCCGATGCCGGGAGCCCGCGCGGACCCCCCGGAGGCTCGTGGCCGTGCCTGTGCTTCTGCTGCAGCGACGGCGAGATCGGCGGCGGCGAAGACGGCGACGGTGCGGTCGCGTGGGCGGCGGGCGGCGACGGCGACGACGACGTCGCGCGTGCGACGCGAGGAGTTCGGTGTGTCTGCAGGTGCGGTGGCGGCAGGCGTGGCGTTTGGTGTCCGCAGCCCCGCCACAGGCACGGGTCGTGGGGCGTCGTGACCACACAGGCAGCTGGCAGCCCGAAAGGACAGGCACGGCCTGGCCCGCTTGTGTACTCCACTCGTGGGCTCCGGATGACGTTTCCGGGCCGTAAGTCGGGCCGGACGAAAGGGGGGGTTTACGAAATTTGCTGCATGCAGCTGGTTTCGGCCTCACCGAGGGGCCCATCTTTCGATATATAGTTGTTTTTGGCGCTGGGAGGCGCGGGGAAAATCAGCTACGTGATTTGATTCTCAAACCCCCCCTTTGCTATCCCCCCCTTTCGCGCGACCCGAGTAAGGTTATTGAGCAAGTGGATATGCCAGTGCTGTCAGACGCGTGCCTTCACAGCACGTGTCTTCCAGGCGGCGTGCCCGACGCTGAGTGGAACGCAGGGCCGCCATTTCGGAAGCTTTGGCGGCCGCCGCGGAACGGTCAACAAGACGGGCCTGGATGAAGGGCCGGGCCCAGGGAGGCGTTCGAGAGGTCTGGTGGGGGTGGGGGCCCACATCTCGAAAACCAGTAGCCATTAGATTTCTGGATAAATACCCACACGGACTGGAAGAGTCAGGGAACCGCGTGTGGGAGCCCAAAAGAGGGCATCCCCCCTCTGGCTCTCTTCCTCTTCGCTTCGTCATCCCCCTCTTCCCGTTCTCCCCCCCCTCCCCCGTCGCCCCTCCCCTCCCGTCCCTCCATGCGTAACCTCCCTCCCTCCTCCCCTTGCACCTCCCCGCAGCCCCTCCACCTATCCCCACGGCCCCTTCTCCACATCTCCACGCTCCTCCTGGCGGCGATGGCGACGCTGACGGCGGCGATCTATGCCGAACATGCCAACGACGCCGACGCGGATGATGATGCCGACGTCGCTCTCGACGACGACGCTGACGGAAGGCGGCGACGGCGGCGTCGTCATTACCCTTCCGAGGACGCTCGGGCTTGATGACCCTGCGGAGGCAGCCCGGGCCGCCGCCGCCGCCAAAGTCGTCGTCACAGTCGTTTTCGTCGGCCTCCTTCCTCCTACTCCCTGTGCTCCTCCCCCCCTGGCTCCCATGATCCCGCGCTCCCTCGCTCTCTCGCTCACTCGCTCCCCCTCGCCTCTTCCTCCTCCTCCTCCTACATTCCTCCTGCTCTTTCTCCTGTTTCTCCTCCTCCTCCTCCTCCTCCTCCTCAGTCCTCCTCCTCCTCTTCTCTCTCTTTCTCCTCTTTCTCCTCCTCCTCCTCCTCCTCCTCCTTCTCCTGTCCTCCTCCTCCTCCTCCTCCTCCTCCTCCTCCTCATTCAAGCCCTCTGATCGAGCCCTCTGTAGGTCGCGTCTTGGCGCAAGCCAGGCGGGCCATGGCGGCGCGGAGGTTACTGCGAACCAACACCCGCGCACCTACCGCCAGGTGTCGCGTCACGCTGCGTCGCTAGAGGAGGAGCCCCAGAGAGGCCGCATAAGCACGGGAAGTGGATACCAGCGGCCCTGCAGCAGAGAAGCAGCAACCATGTGTGATTCACCTTGCGGGGGTATACGTCCGAAGGTCCGAAGGTCCTCATCCTCCTCCTCCTCCTCCTCCACCTCTTCCTCTTCCTCTTTCCCCCTTGCCCTGGAACCTCTCTTGCGCCCCCTCGTTCTCGTCCTACTCCCTCTCTCTTTCTCTTCATCCGGCTCTCCATGTTCCTTCCCCCTGTCTCCGCGCCTTGTCTTACTGGGTGGCATAGCCACGGGATGGCTCTGGTCGGGGAGATACCACGAACAACGATTTGGAGGAGAGGGGAGACGGGAGGGGAGGGAGCAGGGCAGAGGAGAGGATGGGGAAGGTGGAGGAGGAGGGAACGGGAGCAGGTGTTGAGGGTGCTGTATGTGGTTATTGCCAGTTTCAGGGGCTCCAAGGGACTGTTCGGAACATCTGGGAGTGTGGGGGGCGACGCCGACAATTGCCGAAGGTCCTGTTGCACGGTTCAGAGAGAGGAGGAGGAGGAGGAGGGGGAGGAGGAGGAGGAGGAGGAGGAGGAGGAGGAGGAGGAGGACATTTTTTTTTTGACATTCGCTTCGGGGATGAACTAAAGCTCAGGCGCGTTCCTCGGACAGCAACTGAACCCCAGGCAATACCTGGGGCGTTGCCAGTTCCGAATCGGCGCCAAGAACCCCACCCCAGGAGGAAGAGAGGAGGAGAAGGAAAATGCATGAAACAAACTAGCCTGGGTTAAACGCTGCCCACCTACTAATGGGCCGTTCCCAGGCCAGAACGGATCGACGCAGACCTTCCCCAGAACGGGGCGGAGAATCCCAACCCACCCACCAATTCTCCCCCACCCCAGACACGAACAATCCCTGAACGCCAACTTGCAGGTTCGGACTTTCGGGCATGGTGCAACCATGGCAAGACCCGCCAGGGAAGGCCACTTGCTTTCGCCTGCGACCTGGCTGCCAATTTCTTGAACTGTCTGGAGGGAGGAAGGAGGGAGGGGGGCAGCATGAAGGGACAAGGGAAGGGGAAGGAGATCAAACTGCAATGCACTGGGGCAACTTACTTCCCACATACTAATGGGCAGACCCCTAGCCAAGCGAGACCTATCCTCCCCCATAAGGGTTGGAGAACAATTAAGGGACTACTTCACCAGACTTTCCTGGACCCCTGATAAAGTAAGAATATATTGGGCTGAAGTACAGCTGCCCTAACTAGACGCATGACGGAAACTGCAAGTAAGCTACATGCTTCAACAGTACTGCCGATCTGGCCAAAAGGATACGGGACGTGTGAAGGTTAAATAACGCTGGGTAGCTGACGAATGTCCTACCCAAACGCAGAGCTGACCAACACAAAAGAGGGATTCTACCAAAAACCTGTAGCCATAGAAACTTCGCTCATCTAAGCCATTACAATGATGCAATAGAAATTCTGCCGCTGCAGAGAATGCCTTGGATACTACCAACGACACTGAGCTCCATTTACTTTGAAGGCGGGGAGTATGAGCTGGATCTGCTCCTCCGAGGAACAGGCGCACTGCCTGAAGCTGCGTTTCGATTCTTAACACGACTGAGCTCTTCCTTGAGTGTCTCCAGTTGCTGCTGGAGGTGCTTGATCTTAATATCCTGGAGACCACACTTGAGCTCCAGAGGTCTTGAATTGGACGGGGCTGATCCCGTGGAAGGGGCTGCATCGCTGTGTACAACCTTTGCACGCTTACTAGCGTGCTCTGGAGAAGTAGAGCGAGGACGATCGACATGTTTAATACTGGCAGCAGGTGAATCGGAATCGCTACCACTGCCCAAATCATCTGGAAGTTTGTCTTCCTTTTTAGAGATCTGAACCTTTACCTTAGGCTCGACGTTGAATTTCTCGCATACTGCCAAATCGAGATAATGGTATTGCCCTTTGTACTTGTCCAAGAATTTGCCCAACTGGTCCAGCATTTGAGGTTCGTACTGCTGGAAGACATCCGAAATCAGTAGCTTGAACTGAAGCTTGACTTTGAAATCCTGGCCCTGCTCACTGTCGGAGTCTACCTGACCAGAGGCCTTAACTTTGGGACTATACTTCACTGCCACAAGAGGCGGCGGTGGTGAATGGGCCTTCTCACTGTCGGCTTCTACCTGAACAGTGGGCTTAAGTTTGGATTGAATCTTCCCACTGCCAACTACCTCAACAATGGGCTTTTCTGTGCGCCCAGACTTCGCTGATGCTGGTGGTGGCGGAGGTGGCGGGGGTGGCTGGGAACTCTTCCCATGCCAGGGGAGGCCACACTTACATAACGGCTGAGAAGCCATTCTATCGGGCCAGATCCAACAGTCTGGTCTGCCGCGCGGGCAAAGCAACTTAAGATGCGAAGCAGCTGGAGATCCTACTCCTTCTTTGCGAACCCAGGGCGTCCTGGACGACATGGCGGCAACTGCGGCGTGTGGGTGTAGGCGAAACAAAGGGGGGCAGCGCTGCTCCTGCCCAGCTGGCTTGAGCGGTGGCAACTTGAGCCAAAATGGCTTGAACCAACATTGCTTGGGCCAAAATGGCTACGGCAAGAGGAGGAGGAGGAGGAGGAGGAGGAGGAGGAGGAGGAGGAGGAGGAGGAGGACGAGGACGAGGAGGAGGAGAGAGGAGGAGGAGGAGGAGGGAGGAGGGGAGGCGGAGGCGGAGGCGGAGGCGGAGGCGGAGGCGGAGGGAGGGGGAGGGGGAGGGGGAGGGGAGGGGGAGGGGGAAGGGGAGGGGGAGGGGGAGGGGGAGGGGGAGGGGGAGGGGGAGGGGGAGGGGGAGGGGAGGGGGGAGGGGGAGGGGAGGGGGAGGGGGAGGGGGAGGGGGAGGGGGAGGGGAGGAGAGGAGGGGGAGGGGGAGCGGGAGCGGGGCGGGAGCGGGAGCGGGAGCGGGAGCGGGAGCGGAGCGGAGCGGAGCGGGAGCGGGAGCGGGAACGGGAGGGGAGGGGGAGGGGGAGGGGGGAGGGGGAGGGGGAGGGGGAGGCGGAGGGGAAGGGGGAGGGGGAGGGGGGAGGGGGAGGGGAGGGGGGGGGGGAGGGGGAGGGGGAGGGAGGAGGAGGAGGAGGAGGAGGAGGAGGAGGAGGAGGAGGAGGAGGAGGAGGAGGAGGAGGAGGAGGAGGAGGAGGAGGAGGAGGAGGAGGAGGAAGAGGAGGACGACGAGGAGGAGGAGGAAGGGGAGGGAGGAGGAGGAGGAAACAGGAGGGGGGGAGTGGGAAGAAGAGGAGGAGGAGGAGGGAGGAGAGGAGGAGGAAGAGGAGGAGGAGGAGGAAGAGGAGGAGGAGGAGGAACAGGAGGAGGAGGAGGGGGAGGAGGAGGAGGGGGAGGAGGAGGAATAGGAGGACGAGGAGGAGGAGGAGGAGGAGGAGGAGGAGGAGGAGGAAACGGAGGCGGAGGCCGAGGCGGAGGCGAAGGAGGCGGAGGCGGAGACGGAGGCGGAGGCGGAGGCGGAGGCGGAGGCGGAGGCGGAGGCGGAGGCGGATGCGGATGTGGAGGCGGAGGCTGAAGAGGAGGAGGAGGAGGAGGAGCAGGTGGAGGAGGAGGAGGAGAAGGAGGAGGTAGTGAATGAGGGTATCGGGAAGGACATGTGAGGGGCGGCGTCACGAGGGGGTTCGGGGCCTGTTGCCTCTTCCCTGTCCGCCGCTCGTCCACTAATGTCGCACAGGCGCGCCATTGTATATCCGTAAGGGCTTCGCCCCCTGCCGCCGTTCCCCTCTCTCGGATCATGGGCAATGCAAGAGCGAAGGCATGAGGCCTTGGCGCCGCTGTAAAGCAGCGTCGGGACTTCACGCGAAGACGAGGAGCAATCGGCAAGACAAACTGAGATTCTGATGATATTGTTAAATTCGGCGTTGTATTTCAAGGGTGGATGGCCTCGGATACGCGAGTCGCGCGTAATTTGCAAGGGTGTAGGGCTTCGGGCTCGCAAACATAGCGTACGGTACGCAGGTTTATGGCTCCGGGGATGCGAATATGTATTAATTTTCAAAGGTGTATGGATTCGGACACGCGATTAGCGTGTAATTCGCGAGGGTTTATGGCTTCGGGGTTGCAAGCATTGCGTCATTTACACAGGTGTGGGGCTTCGGAGACGCGAGCATTGTGTGATTTACGAGGGTTCATGGCTTCGGGGACGCGAGTACTGTGTGATTTACGAGGGTGTGTGGCCTCGGAGACGCAAACATTGTATAATTTACGAAGGCTTATGGCTTCGGCGAAACGAATAAGGCGTATTTTGGGATGGTTTATGGCTTCGGGGACGCGACTATTCTGTAATTCGCGAGGGTCTATGGCCTCGGGGACGCGAATACCGCGTGATTTACTAGCGTTTGTGGCTTCGGGGAGACAAGTTTTGTATTTGTTACGAACGTTCATTGGTTCGGGAACGAACACGGTGTATTTTGCAATGGTTTATGGCTTCGGGGACGCGAATATCATGTAAATCGCAAGGGTCTACGGCCTCCGGGACGCGAGTAATGTGTAATCTAAAAGGGATTATGGCCCAGGGG